AACCATTTCTGTTCCAGGCCTGGTACACAAGTGGACTGTCCTCAAAAGTGAGTTCTCAAGAAACGTTTTTTCACTCAAAAATATTTTCAAAATCATTTTCCGAATAACTTTCAGCGCTATCTGTGTCTCTGCTGGTGACTCAAATGAAACAAACATATGCTGCAGACCAGCTGCTGCTGAAGTACTGTGACTTTTTTTTATTTGCTTTTTTTTAAATTTTGACTTCTGGAAGAGAGGGGAGGGATTGAACAAGCGGAGGTAAACAACAGTGAAAGGCATGATCTCTATTTTTGATATTACAGCCAGCCAACGCTGTTACAAACATCGAAATAAGTCGAAATTTTGAAGAATTAGTAGTAAATGATTAAATATCGGTAGAAACAAGAAAATGAAAGAAACTGGAAAAACTGAATTGAATTTATTATTGGAAATAAGATAAAATAAAATAATAGCAAAAAATTTACAACGAACTTAAAAAAGAAAGTAGGGAGTAAAAAAATATAATAATAAAGTAGTTTTGCATAAAAGTTATTGGAGAAGCCAATGTCATTGAGCAAAAGAAAAGTATAAGAGGAAAAAGGAAACTTTGCCTTCAACTTTATTCACATCTTAGGGCAAAGCTTTATGACGCTTTTCGTGCGAATTCGTTTCATCTTCCCTTTTTCTCCTTCTATTTTCCTTTTCAGACGATTCCCGAATGCCCCAATGGTGGAATCCGCCAACCGTCACCATCCGGGTACAAAAGCTGCTCGATAAACTCGCTGAATGACTGCGATCCGGGGTGATTAGTTGGAGGCGGAAGAAATTGGTTTTAGCAAATAGAATTAATCACAATTTACCTAGGTATTCATGTGCTCGAGCCTCGAATGACTTCTCTATCCAACTATGCTGCTCTGCTTCAACCTCTGCTGCGGAGCCTGTATGTCCTAATCAGGGCTTTCTTTTGAAGGTGGGATGACTCGAAATCTTATATTTCAAGGAGTATGTATGGGGTTACAACCCCATGTTTTCCCAAAAATGGTATGGCTTTTCAGGAGCGTGGTCGTCCCGTGTACTGTTCTGCCGAACAGCCTCATCTGTGCCCAACTAACTATCCATGTGAATCAGCTGTTGGTGCACCTGGAACCTATGTCTGCTGTTCATCATCAACAATATCCTGTCCTACACGATATTTACCATTTTTGGATCCCAACGGTAACAAGGTAAGCATAATTGAATCACAAACGACAAACATGACCAGCGGGCCACTAAAAGCACTTTGTGCGTCTGTTCATATTCTATTTTTGAATTTTTTATTCAATTTGTATCCCGACCAAGAAAAAGAGCGGAACGAACCCGACTGACAACTTATCGGTTAAAAATGAAACATATTTAAGGCTTGTAGGCTATAGCTGGGACCGAATTTTTTTTATTAAAACGAAATAACTAAAGTAAACAGTTAATAATTTGTTTTGATCTATTGTTTACTATTTATTCTTATAGATTATGTGTTCTCCATCGAATGTCAACGATTGCCCGGTCGGATCTACCTGTACACAGTCTATGCAATCACCTACAGTACACCTA